GGGCCGCTCGCTTACGGGAGGCGTTCGTGGGTAGAAAAACTGCAGGCTGTAACCGGGCGTAGTTAAACCGGGACAAAAGATCGGTTTGGTCGGATGTCAGCTCTTCCCCGTGAGGGTGGTGGGGCACTGGAACAGGCTGCCTGGAGGAGCTGTGGATACTCCCTCTGTGAAGGAGTTCAAAGCCAGGTGGGACAAGGCTTCCAGCAGCCTGCTCTAGTGAGGGATGCCCTTGGCTGCAGCAGGAGGCCAGGACGAGGTGATCTGTAAAGGTCCTGTCTAACACAGTGTTCTATGAAATTACTCTGGGGATGCACTGAGTGCAAATTTTCAATTCAGAGGAGTTTGAGGTGAAGTTAAATGTTCTTTAACTGAAATAAATAACTTTGTATCCTTTTGTACTTCTGTTTTTCATCTCATTTTGTTTAAAAATCTTGGGAAAGAAAACCTACAGTTGTGGTCTGGCAGAGAAAGCAAATTGTCCAGTTATGGAACAACAGCTCCTGTGTTAGGAGGAGGAAGTCTGTGTTTCACAGGATCTCGTTTTCTAGCATTCCTTTTCTGATTCTTTGTTGCTGGGGTCTCCTGATCAGTGGTAGAGCTGTGCCCACTAGGTAGGCTGAGCAAGAGATGGGTAAAAGCAGTGTGGGGGTGAACAAGAGCTAAACACCAGCCTCTAACCCATGTGACTGCTGTTCTGTGATGGTTTGTGTTTCTGAGCTGTCTGTGGGACGGTGCTCTTGCCTAGCTGACCTAGAGTTTGCTGTTATGAGAATGGAAGTAGATATGCTCTGTTTTTTTCCTGTTGACCTTTTCTGTACTTAGACTAACAGCTTGCTGGCTCTGAGCCAGGTGCATTTTCACATGTTGGATGCAAGTTGCTTGCTCATTGCAAATAATTATAAGATTCAAGCTCTGAATGTTCCTGGGCTGCAGTGAGAACAGTGTACAGGTTTATTCCATGGGATGAAGGCTCACTACTAGAGCAGCTGGGCCTTGTGTTCTGTGTGAGTAGTTAGAGATGTGTCCTGGTAAGAGGCTGAGGTACTTTGTCATCTTAAACTGTACTCTGCTTCCTCCCCACAGATGGAGGAAGGGGATGCTAACATGAATGCACCTGTCATAACTCCTTCTTCATCCACTGAAAGTGTGAACAAGGTACCTGTGGTGAAGGCCAAGGCCACTCATATCATCATGAACTCTCTCATGACAAGTAAGAACTCTCATCTCTACATTGGTGGCTAGTGGGGTGTGGGCACAGGAGGGTGCTGGCTTGGTAATGCCTCAAGGGAACTAGCAGAGCTCCTGGACAGCTTGTGGGTTCAGATTGACTCAGCTTTTGAGCTGTCTGAGTTTTTTTTGAGGATGCTTCTAGAAGGAAGCAAGGAACTAGGGAATCGGCTGCACTTGCTGCCTGTGTTTCCATGTGCTGGTGGTGGGTGATGAGGGAGGGGGGCAGGGTATGTTATCTGCTGATAGGACACTGCAGTCCATGCCACCTTGTTAGTGGAGTGCGGAGGCAGCTGCTGCTGCTGCCCTGTTTGCTTATTAACTTGTTATTTCTGAGTGACAGGTAAAGCTCTAAAATCACCCGAGTGGTGTGGAGAGCTGATGTGCTGTGCTAATGGAGCCCTTGCTGGCATTATGATTGTTAATAGCAGGAGCAGCAGCTGTCTTGCTAACAGGAGCACTTTTAAAAAAACAAAGCTCATAAATCATGATGCTTTAAAATCAAATTGGGTCAGTTATGTTTGCAGGGAAGACATGCCCATTTGCAATGAGAGGACTCATTCATGTGTTAATCTGTCCCTGCTGCCTCTTCTTTTAGCAGCTGGGTCTGAGCTTTATCTTTTATTCCAAGCAATCTTTCCAAAGGCTTCCAGATTTGCAGACCTGTGCTTTGGAACAGCTATGCGTTTGGACTTTTAGTCTTGGCTCAGAAATAACCACTGCATCAGAACTTCTGGAAAGCAGCTCCTGTTCCAGCCTAATGATGAAATGCCCATCTGGTTAAAACCACAATGGCCTAAAAATGTCCTGGTGCAGTAAGAATTCAGGACCCCCAGCCTGTGCTTCCCAGGGAGAATGTTTGGTCACAAGTTGGAAATACAGACAGAGCTCCTCCTAGATTTCTCATACGCAGTGCACTATCTCTGCAAATAACATTGACATGAGAAGTGCTACCTCTTTTAAAGAAGACATTGGCCTTTTGGCTTTTTTAGTTCCACTAGGGAGTGAATATCTTATGCTGGTTGTGGGTGTGGGGAAAGCACTTAATGTTTTCCAAAACTGAAGTTGATATCAAGTGTTTTAGATCCTGGCTCAGTATTTGTCCAAAATAGCTTATTTCACCTAAACTAGAATCACTGAGCCTTTACCACCTGCTCTGCAAGGCTGTGACTGTCAGATAAGTTAGTGTAGACAGCCTTTCAGAAGATTTTTTTTTTTTGGCCAACAAAAAAACAAACTCCCTTGAATCTAGAGGCCCACTTAAAATGTCCAGTTTATTGGGGTCTCCTAGATAGAGGAAGCTGTAATTAGGAGTGATGCAGCTGCTTGGGTGAGATGGTTTAGTTACAACTGTTGCATTTTTAATGCATCTGGTGATTTGGGACAGATCACTGCTCATCTGTATCAAGTCAGAACACCTCCTTAGCTTCATCTTGCTAAGGAGGTATTCTGCTTGTCTTGCTGCTTCTATCAACTGATCACGAGTGAAGAAAAAAGGGCGGTACATTTTTTTGCTGATGTTGCCTCTGTGAGCTGCTTGTGGTGTCATTTCTGTGTGAATGTGCTTTGTCCATTCCAGAGCAGACTCAGGAGAGCATTCAGCGCTTTGAGCAGCAGGCAGGGCTGAGGGATGCTGGCTACACTCCCCACAAAGGCCTCACTACTGAGGAGACCAAGTATCACCGAGTGGCTGAAGCAGTCCATGTAAGGCTTGTTTTCCACTGGCTTCCTCCCTGCAGGCTGTGTACTAGCTTAACACCCATCTGGTGACGTTACTTTTGGAATGTGTTCCAAGGACTCTCCTTAAACTGCTTCCTCTGAAGGCTTTTAGCTCACTGTGTACAAAAGGTTGCATATTTTAAAGTTAGTATTAGCCTTTATGGTTCTGAAACTTCTTTCTGGAATCTGCCATGTTCCACAGTCACGTCAGGCTATCACAGTTGTCCTTCCAAGTGGGGGCATCCCTATGCAGACTCTGTTTTCTTGCTGTACCTTTGAGTGGTGCCCTGCAGTTGACTGTTGTAACTGTTTGTCCCAAGAGAACTTGTAAAATATGCATTTCTGATGTGGAAGTTAGTAGTTGAAGTTGGACTTGCCTCTTACTGGAAATAAAGACAAAGGTCTTGAGTCAACATGTTTCCAATGAGCTTGGTTGTCCTCAGGAATCTTGCGGTTGGAGTTTAATAGAGAACTCTCCAAGCGTGCTTCCCCAAGGTCAAAGTTTCAATAACAGTGTTTGTGAATTGCATTAGTGTGGCTTGGGTAGCCACAGGAAATGTTCCAAGATGGCTGGGTGGTGTTTGAACTATAACTGCCCTTGGAGTGACTTCTTTGAAGTTCAGTTTGTACTGACTGTATGAGGTCTGGTCTCGCCTTCATTAGAACTTGTGCTGAAAGAGGAATGGTTACTGGGGCATTCACACTTGTTCCTGGGTGGCTGAACTGATGCTGCCTCTAGTGCATCCACAGCCACCTTGTGAATGCTGCTGTGGACAGTGTTACTGCTGAGTAGTGACTCTGAATTGTAGAGTGAGGGGCAGGTGTTATTTCACTTCTCTAGCCTGGAGCATCCTGGCTGCAGTAGGTTTCCAAAATGCTTATATCTCATGTGGAAAGAAGCTGAAGGGCGTCTGTGCAAGTATTGTACTACTGGTTTTAACTTCACATGAAGTGACAGTTAAATCATTTATTGCCTGGGGTAGAAACAATTGTCCAGTTCTAACAATAAAACCAGCTGTTTGTTCCTCAGGTCTTGTGTTTAAGTTCTGTTGCTTCTGTGTTTCTCTTGCCTCTCCTAACAGAAGCTAAAAATGCAGAGTGGAGAGACGACAAAAGATGACAGACAGACTACTTCTGCTCAGTCCACTCCAAGCAGCACTCCCCACTCCTCTCCCAAGCATAAATCCAGGTACTCTGTTCTGGCAAACCACTGCCTCCTTTGGTTTCCTGCAGGCTGTTGAGTTGGGAGCTGCTACAAATAACCTCCTTATCCAGCAAGGGACTGTCTAAGGGGCAAAATTCAGAGCCTGCCTGTGGATTTGTGTTGGATAGATCCAAATGTTGAAAGCTTGTGGAACTTGAGCATATATAAGTTCATCCTGGGTGGTAACAAAACTATTAAGATTGTTTAGATTGCCCCAATAACTCTATGTAAAAGTTCCTGGCACAGTGGGGCCACTTGAAGTATTTATTCTCATGCTTTGTCTCAATGATTTTTCTCCAGGGGTTGGTTTAGTCAGGGATCCTCTACTTCTATCACTGGCCCAGACTTTGCCCTGGAAGCTGGTGGGGACAAATTGCCATCTGAAAGATGGAGCTTTTTTGGACCTAAAGCCATGCAGAAACGCACCAGTGATCCAGGTATGTCCTCTCAAATCTCCTGGTCTGCGAGACCTGGCCTGCAAGAGCTCAAGGAGAGCTGTCACACAACAAACTTGCTAGCTGTTTGTTTCTGGAGCCTTATCCTGCTTTGCTTTGTTACTTTGTGAATGTGTGCTATTCATATAATTTCTGTGCCTAACTACAAAGCAGTTAGATATTTGGCATAGGTTTTACCTCAAAGTAGAAATAACTTACACTGAGCTGCAGTGAAAGGGCAAGGTGTGAAGGTGACAGCTTTTTACTCTGTCTGGTGGAACCAGAACTGAAGTGCCAGCTGCTGATTTGGAACAGGCTTTCAATGACATGAGGCTGATAGGTCTTGTGTAAACTTCCTGCAGTGTGGGGCATTGGTGACACTGCTCACTCCTGGCACCAGAGGAAAAAGGATTTGGGTAATTCTACAACCTCTTACTTGCTGTGATTATTTTTTCATCAGGAGGATTTACCATCCAATCCTATAAGGGTGCCCAGAAGCCATCCCCAATGGAGCTGATGCGTGCTCAGGCTACTAGGATGCCAGAGGATCCAGTCACCTTCAAGCCACCCAAAATGGACATTCCAGTCACAGAAGGGAGGAAACAATCTTCACGTTCCCATAACATCAAACCTCGGGATCTGAATGTGCTCACTCCCACTGGGTTCTAGGAAGAATGCTTCTGGTGTCCTTAGTGGGCTGCAGGGTGTCTTAGGTGCTGCTTCCCTATCCCACTGTGCTGCAGCAAAATAGGAAAGTCTCCCTTCCAGCTCTTCATCTCAGAAAAGGAAATGGTTGTGGCTGCCCTCCTAAAGCCAGGCTTGGAAAAACTTCTGCACTAGTACTAAAGCAATGTGATCCATCCTGTCTGCTGTCTCACAGCAGTTGGGTCTGCTAGGCTGCACTAGATGTGCAGTAAAACCTCAAACCATGTGTTGTGGGACAGGACTGCATGTGGTGTGCAAGCAGGCTGGCTTGTCTGCCTGTGGTCTGATTGTCTTGCTCTGCTCAGTGCTGAAGTACCCTCAGGAGGACTGTGGTTCTGTCTGGCATATACAGAACACCAGCAGAAAACTATGAAAACAAGGACTGAAAACTGGACCATTAACTGCCAGAAGGAAGTTGCTCTGGGAATGTGGTGGGTCAGTCTTAAATGTGGCACTCCCTTACTATCCTGTGTAACCTTGTAGTTCAACAGCTAGTATTTCTTTGTCCTTGGAGTTTTTTAAAGTAAAAGTGGAGCAGTGACCATTCCAAGATGCTCTTGTTAGAATGGCAGGGAGCAGAATGTCATGGGGCTTGACAGTGTTGCTTTTCTTCCAACTCTTCATGTTTCTCCAGAAAGGTGGAAATGACCAGAGCTGGTGTGGGTTGAACCAAGTAATCATCCTCTGTACTTTCTGCAAAACAACACTGTCCTGCCTCCTCCCAGACAACAGACTTAAGAGATGCCTGGCAGTCTGGGTGCTGCTTTATTTGTTTTGTTTTTTTTTTTTTCCCTAACATCTTGCGTGAGTCATGTAGAAGTGTATTCAAAACCAGGGGCACTTCTCCAATAAGGCTTTTTGTTTCTTCAGCATTAAAAGCATTTTGCAGGACTGGGGGAGGACTAAGGGCAGGTGGAAGCTAAGTGCTCCTCCCTGCTGTCATATAGCTGTATGGAATTTTTGGCCTAGTCAGTGCCAGCTACTGGGAACAGCTTAACACTTGTGTTCATGGAAAGTGGAAGAAACTCCTGGCTACCCGCTAACCCGTTAAGCATTATAGGCAGTGTTGCTCTGTAACCTTCACCTGTCCTGTGGCAAACAAGTCTCCTCTCTTGTGGTCTTGTGGTTGCCTTGCAGAGCTCCCTGAGCCAGCAGCAGGCTTTGTGTAGCAGTGAGTTGGCAGCGACAGCCTTGTCTGGTGCTGGAGACTTTTCTGTTGCCAGGGCATTATGCAGTGGTTACTGAACAGCCAGGAACGTTGAGCTCTGGGGTTTCTGCTGCCTTAAACCAAACATTCCTCCCAGAGGGTGAGGCACGGTCGGCTCGCTTGGCTAGCTGCTGTCCCCTCTGGAGAGTGTGCTTTGTGGCTCTGCTCCTCTCAAGCCTCAACAGCACTGCCAGTGATGTTCTGTTGAAAGTCTCCCACCTAATCAAGCAGTTTCCACTGTCACTGCTTGTTTGCACCTTGGCAATCAGTCTAATTTGACATTAATTTATTTGTTGTCTCCATGTGTCTAATGTGTGATTCTTTTTGTTTGTTAAAAGAAAATAAAATCCTTGTGAATGGAGGTCCTTGGTCTGTTGCTTATGAAGTGTGTGAGGAGACTTGTTAGAAATGCCTGATCGACCTTGGCTGCGAGTTGAGGGTGGTGTATTTGAATGTTCACCCCAACACAAAGGTTTCCCTGCCCTGCAGGCACTTCTGTGCCTTCTGGAAGAGGCACAGCCTCTTCAGCTGGTGCTGTTGTCTGGTCCTCTGTCCTGACATGCTAATCACCTTGGAAAAAGTAGTGTATCTGGAACAGAAGTTTTCTCTGGAGGACTGACCAGTGTGGCCTGGGGATCTGCACTGTGAATGCCCTCACTGCAGCCCACACCTGCTTTTTTTTTCTTTAATATTGGTACCTTTACCTAAATACTGAACAGGTGCTTTGGCATTTTGCTTGCTGTGTGAACTACTGGCAGTTTATGGCTGTGTTACTCTAGTGCTATCCCAAGGTGCAGTTGCCAGAGCTCTGCACTTCCTTTGGGCAGGGTTGGCACCAAGATGGAAAGGTCTTGGCAAATACGAGAATAATTTAGTTTTTAGGAGTGTACAAAACTGCCTTGTACAAAACTACAAGATGAGGTAAATTTGAAAGGAAACTGAGAACCATGTGTACCAGACACTTCTTCTGAAGAAATGTATAAACAAACCCACATGATGTATGACACTTGAGACTGCAGTGTGAGATGGGATCTCAGTGGGGTTTTATAGAGGAAAGGTGAAGTTCTTTGTGCGCCGTGCCGCAGCGGTTGCCTCCATCAGATAGTGGAGACAATGAGGAGCAACTCCTGAAGCATGTGCAATTTCTCTGTGATTTGCAGGGGAAAAGGCTGCCCCAGGAGATGCTGCATTCGGCTGATGAAGTCCTCCATCTTTAGTTGAATGTCCACATGGCTGATGCCATCGCTGACCTGGAGCTTGGGTTTGGCTTTCTGAACAATCAAGTCAATCCGGTCGTCGAGTGGGCTCCGTAAGTGCTCTGCAGGAGGAGATGCTGGTGAGCAGAGGCAACACACAGTGGGCTGCCTGACCTGTCTGGGGGAGATTGCAGCATGCTGCAGCCAGTACTGCGCTGTGGTGAGGTGCTGTTGGGAACTGCTGATCCTCTCATGGCTATCCTTGATGCTACTGTGGGTGCTGCTCCCTGTCCAGTCCACTTAACTGCAGAATATGTCCTGGCTTTACCCTCCATTGACTTCTCTTCCTCCTAAACCACCCTATTCTTCCACCCACTGTGTATGCCACCTAGAGTACAGCAGGTACAAAGCACCCCCTTGTGTACTTCCCAGTGCTGGGACTGATCCTTTAGGAAGCAGGCTATTATTAGGGGCCAAACCTGGCAAAGCTAGTTGGGTGCTCTGCTTGATGCAACATCACTTCTTGGCTCTGACTGCTGGGAATAGTTAATAGCGTGGACAGAGGCACATTATCTTTCTATGTGGCCGCAAGTTCAGGAGTGAGAAGAGAGGAGGAAGGGTACTTTGGGTGTTCTACCACAGCCTCTTGATGAGGTGGTGTTTTTCAGGCCAGAACAAGCTGCTTACCTAGTATTACATTCTGGTAACTCAGCAGCAGCAAACTCGAATACTGCAGCATCTCATCCCATCTTTGCCACGTTTCTGTTTCATCCTATGACAAGAGACAGTATTTGAGTATTTATGAGAACAGGTTTTCTCAGGGGAAAACAAGGACAAAGGAGAGGCTGGACTGGATACCTGGTATGGCAGCAGGACAGAGAAATGGCTCAAGAAGTACAGGATCTTGGCCAGAGACAAGGGCAAGGTCGTGGGCACATCACAACTATGCTGGAACAATAGTTCTAGCAGTTTGCAGCGCAGGAGATGGCTCTCCATGGTGTTCAAGAAAGCTTCCCTGGAAGACAAAAGGGATTTACTCTTGGGGAGGTATTGCAGTCTGACCAGGGATGACTGCTAAAGCATTTTACTGGTGTCCTGCTGGTGCTGATCTGTTGCAGATGTGGGGTGACTGCAGGGGCTGTCCAGCAGTACAGTGGAGGGAAAACCACCAGATGACAGAGAACATTATGCAGTTTGGCCATGGACATCTTTATGCCCTTAGGTCTGACCTGTGGCAACTTGAGGGCAGTGTAGGATCTGTGAAGCAAGCTTAGCTGCTTGACTTATCCTTGCCCAGCAGCCTGTGTGGGAGTTACCCATTCCCGCTGACTTGCAGGGAGGGCAGCCAAGGAAGCGTGGAGTCAGCGGGCAGCCAGATGTAAGGGTTCTGTCCTAGGAGGAGCCATAGCTTGGTTAGAGTCAGTTTGGCTTAATTAGACCTGTTGTGTGCTCAGAGTTCTGCTAAAAGGGTCCAAAAGGGCTGTCTGCTGGGGCTGGCAAACATGGGTTTGAAATGTCTGCAGATGTAGTGGTCTCGTGTCTGTGCTGGAGCCAGTCAGGCCCTTGTGCTTTGGCTTCAGATTCTGCATTTCCTAGAGCAGCAAACAAAAGGATGTCAAAGCAAAGCTGTAGGAACTGTTGTATTTCTGAGGAGGTACCTGGCTGCCCCTGGGAATCAGTGATGCATTTGCCAGTATGTGACCATGCTGATGCAGAGTGCTGCTTTTCAGACCCTTCTTGAACTTTTAAGGTCCTGCAGCTTTAACAAGTGTGAAAAGCAACTGTTCTCACACAGCAGCTGGGTAGATGCATTCTCCTGGTGATGTTGTATCTCCAGTGGAGATACAGCCATGCTCTTGCTGGCTGGGACATAAATGAGCCTGTCTTTTATACCTCATGGTACTTTATGCATCCAGACTTGGATGTGAATTGGGGAAAAAGGCCATTGCCCACACAGCAGATGCTGCCTTGCACATGTTTGTCTCACCTTTGGTTCCTCAGGGGAATATTCAGTATGAACGGGAACATCACGTCTGCGATCTTACAGGAGCTGCAGTTGGGAGACTTGTCCACTTCCACTGCAATGTGCAACATCCGCTGGAGCAGGAGCATCACCCTGGGTTGGAGAGACAGCCAACACTAGGAGACACTGCCCCTTGGCTTGCAAAGTAAAGCAATGGAGAAGGCACAGAGTTCAGCCTTGTGCCTTCCGGTGAGGGATGCAGGGGAACACAGCAGGCTAGGTTTGGTGTCTCTTGAATCTGATGCTCTTAGAAGCAGAGCTAATCCCCAGATGGGCCCTTGGGAGGTCTCAGGAACTGTTCTCAGTGTTGGAGCAGCACAGGGCAGTCGGAGCTGTGGGCCAAGAGCTCCACCCTTATGTTGCATGCAAGAAGACATGTACTGAACTAGTTTTCTACAAGGTGTGGATGTCTCTTGCTTACCAAGTCTGTCTGCCCCAAAGGAGGACTAGCAAAACTGGTCACAGGTACAGCCTGGCTTCCCTGACCTGACAGGAAGAGACTTTGGCTTCTCCCTGACTTGGGCTCTGTGATAATGCCAGCAGGGAGTCAGGACTTCTGGGGCTTACTTCTGGGCGAAGAAAGCTGGTGGAACCACCTCTGCCTGGTCAGTGCTGGGCAGCAAGGGTGCAGATGAGCTGTGTTCAGTCGTTGCTTCTGCGGAAGAGGATGCGGTTTCTTGCGGCTGCTCCGGGGGCTGGGAGAACCCGACTCCTGTAACTGCTGCAACCAACCATTCAACCACCTCCCTGGGACAGAAACAGGAACTTCAGTGGGGACAGGCCTGGTTTTGCTGCATTCTGACCTCTAGATTCACAAGGGTCTTGAGGAAGTACCCTGAGGATGAATAGTATGTCCCACCCACTTGGACAGGTTAGGGGATAGCTCTGCTGAGCAGCAGCTTTATATGTTTGCTAACAGGACTGCATCCTTCTCAGTCCTGTCCTGAGCAATGCAAATCTGACCTCACGCCTAGGAAAACCCAGCTAGGTTGTGGCTGGAAATGCCTTGCATCACCTCTGGTAGTTTGCTTTTGTGGACCTGCTCCTGTTCTTTATACTTGGGCCCTATGTTTCCCTCTGTCTCCCAGGCTGGTTTCCTGGGAAAGTCTGACCTGGAGTCTCAACAAGTATTCCCTGAGCCCCTGCCTCTCAGCATCTGGTTAGAGAACAGGGGAGGAGGAGGAGGAGGTGTCCCTTACTTGATGTTGCTGAAGCACTTGTCACATGAAAGCACTTTCTTGGCAATGGACCTTGGCAGCAGGCGCAATCTCAGGTTCTGCTGGAAGTCATCCTCCAGGGTCTGCACCACATACTGCAGGAAGAGGAGCCGGCCAGGGGGCTTCTCCTGAGGACAGATGGAGATAGCATGAACCTGGCAGAGCCACAGGACAGGGAGCACCAGGGAATTTGGCTGTCTCAGAGAATGGGCTGAGGTACTGCTTGGCTCAGGCCATGCCCTAGGGGCACTGCTGGATGTGTTCTACCATCACATCAGGGCTGTGACCCATGAAGGCTTTATCTGTTGCTGTGCCTTCTTCAGGTGAGACCACCTGTCTATGGATGTGCAGTCAGTTCAGGAGCAGCACGGATAAGTACAGGATACCCAGTGGCCACTTGCCCTCAGTGGCTGCAATAAGACCATGTTGGACTGTCCCATTCCACAGCACAGCGTGGCTGTGTGAAGCCATGCTTACCCTCGGGCACCATGTACTGGATGACCCCTGCCCAGTGTGACTTATGTGGTGCCAAGTACCTGGTCCTCCATGATGTACTTCAGCAGCATCCAATCCCATCCCACTGTGTCAGCGTTGGCTGGATGGAGCCTGCAAGGACAACACTGTCCATTTGTGCTGAACTGCCCAACTGTCTGCCTGGAGGCACAGCAGCCTCTGGGCCTTTCCCAGCCTTTCCTGGCCCCAGGTGCTCAGAGCCCTGCCTTCTCCAGCTGTGCCCTCCCCTTCTCCTCTGATGATGTTCATTTTTTGGAAGCACCTGACTGTGGCTGTAATCCATGGAGAGCCCCAGGACTCCTTGGCCTGTGGCCACAAAAGTGTGCCCCTCTGTGAGAACCCTGAGGGCAGCAGAGGAACTACTCCAGCCACTTCCAGCCCATGGCCCCTGCTGCAGCCCAGGGAAGGCCTTTCTGCCATGTTGTGGCAGTGAAGAATGAGATCTGTGCTTCAGGAGCACAGCAAACACACTCCTCTGTCCTGGAGGGGTCCCTGGTTTCACAGGCTGTCCCTGACCCACCCTCAGCCTGGGGTGTGCGTCTGCTACAACAGGAGGATCATTCTGGGTCATAGGGGAAATTGCTCCCTGTTCTGAGTGTGAGGACCACAGAGGACCTCTATGCTGGACAGGCCCCTTGGAGCACCTAGCCAGCCTCAGGGCGCTACGGCAAAGGGAATACGTACATTTGGATCTTCATCAGCAGCATATAGGTGTCTTTCAGCATCTCCTCTTGGCGAGGGTTCAACAGGATCTCTCTGATCAAGTGGGACACTATTTCTTTGGAGGGATAGTACTGGCGGGAGACAAAGTTGCTCAGGAAATACAAGGTGCCCTCCACAAAGTTCTCTTCTATGGTGGTGCGCACCATGCTCAGCTTCCCGCTGGGGATCAGCTCAGGCTTCTGCTGTGGGCAAGGCAATGCAATAGGTGAAAGCTGGCTCTGCTCAACGCAGAGGGACCCAGGTGTGATGTGGGGCCCACTGTGAAGGGAACCACAATAACCAGAGATCCCAACTGCCTGGCAAAGCTTCCCTGAAAATGGGAAGTGGAGCGGGGGCTGCCCCAGCTCCATCCTCTACCACAGGGGATGCTCTGAGCAGGCTCCCACTGAGCTTGGCAGCAGCTGCTCTGAACCCCATTTACCTGATGTGTTTCCCTGTTGGGTGCTATGTCTTGGAGGAAGAGGTGCTGGACTCCTGTCCTTCTGAAATAGTGCAGTTTGTTGAGCCAGGCCTTGCTGTCAGCCTTGGTCCTGGCTGGGGTCACTTGCTGGATTGCTTTGTATGAAGGTAAGTCACCTGCCTCCAGCAAAGGCCCTCGGGCTGTTGCAGGGCCTGTGGAAATGGCTGGGGCAGGGCTCAGCCTTGGGGACAGCTCCCTTTGCTGGCACCTGGGGGAAGTCTCTTCCTCTGGGTGGCTGGCTGTGCAGCTGCAGTTGATGTCCAGGCTGGATGGGGACAGGGTCAGCAGATCTGAGTCCAGCTGCACGCTGGCCAGAGAGCCCAAGTCACTGTTGCAAGTCGTAGCGCTGCAGTTCTGCTCCAGGCTGCTGGAGGATTTGTGGCTGTCGGAGTTTGGGGAGGAGCAGCTTTCTGCTGTGTCTGTGGTGACGATGGGCTCTGGGGGGCCAGTGTGCATGGGTGCTGCAGGGCTCTGCACCGCCCTCACCTCAGTTTTCACGATGGTGGTGGAGAAGAGATGTGGATGGGATGTGTGTGCTGCTAGTGCAGCAGTTGCCTGCCCGGGGCCCTGGTCAGCCCAGCTGGTGGTGTGGGGAGGGCTGCATGTGTCCTCTGTCAGGTCGATGATGGTGATGCTGCTCCATGGCACTGCATCTGTGCTTGTGTCCTCACAGGTGAGATCGATGATCTCCTGTGGGGACAGAGTGGCCAGCACTGTCAGCAGCGGTGGTAATTTGGTGTCTTGGTCCTCCCCTGCCAGGGACCTCTGCTGTGGTGGCACTGTTGCCCCAGTCCAAGGGGGGAAAAGGGGTTCATGGGTTCCAGCCCAGGAAGAGAAACCGTAAGCAAAGGCTGCCTGGCCAAGGGGATGGAGCAGCTCCTCTTCCCCACTCCTAGCAGAGACCAACTCTGTGGGGCTCTTGAATTGCAAATGGCTGCATTCTCTGCCCCAAATACCTCTTGCCTTGGCCCAGGGCAGGCCGGGCTGCCTGCTCAGCTCCTTTGTGGGATGGGAAAATGACACTTTTGATGGGGGGGTGCCTGGGGAGGGTAATGGGGGTGCAGCAAGCACTCCTGTCCCCAGGGGCTCCTGCCTGGCACTGTCAGCGGTGCA